CTGTTTATGTTACTGGGTTATTTATGTTACTGAGTTAGATGAGTTAGTTAGATAACTTCAGGAGCTTATATCTGTGTTATGAAAGTGAAACTGGTGCTTTTAGCTTGCACCGCTGATAAGAAGGTCCATGCCCTTGAGGAGCCATGAGGAGAAATGAGCAAAAAATAAAATTATTATTATTATATTATAATAATATAGAAGGGGAGCAGAAGGGTCTCACAACCCCTGAGGATGCCTGCCATAGATGCAGGTGAAATGTCAGGAGAGAATGCTTCTGGAACATGACCAGTAGTGATGACTCCCCAAGTAGCAGAATCTCCCGCCTTCAAGTTGGTTTGAACCGCAGCAGGGAGTTCCGCAGTTCCGGAGAGCAAAGTTGGGTCCGACTGATGAAATGTGCCCCAGCCAGCAGCTCAAAGCAAAAGACTGCATGAAGCCTTTCTTTCACTTTCCCCTCTCCCTCTCTTTGTAACAAATCCCCTAATAAAACACTTAAGATTTGAAACTTTAAATCTTTTCCGCTTGATACTTTGTGTCCTTTTACTGCCTGAAACTTTTCTAACATAAAATAAAACCTTTTCTGAGCTCCGGGGAACCGTGAGCTCACCGGGGATGCCTTCCCGGCCTCCCCGGGCCCCCGGATTTGCGTTAGTTCAAACTGCGGATACGGAGGTTTTCCTAATGGCCCCCTTTATCCGCAAAACAACAACATGGCGGATCGGCCCCGTTCAAATTTTATATTTTTCTACATTAAATTCTAAGACTAACTGCTATCTTGGTTTTCTCATTTTGGACTCCTGCACTCGTGAAATAATTGTTTTTGTTTAATCATTAAATTTGGCCGAGTCACCAGCTGATTGTCAAAATTTCGCCGGCTTTTGCCGCTCGCTCCATTCCGCTCGCTCCAGCATGGTTCCCGCCGCCTGCGATCCACCGCCGTTGCCCAAGGGGAAGCCTTGGAAGTGGGGGATCGGGCAGGGAGGCCCGATCCCCGGTTGGGAGTGCTAGTTCCACCAAGGACAGGACAGTGGAACCTAGCTCCCCCTTCAGCTCCAGCTCCTGCTTTATGAAATGAACTGATCTTTAGATGGCCAGCCTGAACCATGGGCTGGCTCCTGCATTCAAACTTCTTCGTCCAAACTTTGGGACTTCCAGTTTTCCTTTTCCTTTTTAATAAAATGAATAAAATATTTTCTTATTATGATGGACTGGGGTTGGGATGGGTGGTGGGTTGTGGTATATGAAATGCCTGTATATTAGTGATGCCTGTGTTTTATGAATATGATATATGTATCCCTATGAACTTCCCTGTATCCATACCCCTTTGACCCTTACCCCGTAAAACCGGCGTGGCCAGGAACTGCCTGAGGGAAGATCCCAAGCCTCTTTCCCCCAAATCACCCATTGATTGACTCATCATGCATGGACAATGCTGCTGGCCCCCGATTTCGTCATCGGAGCAAGGCCAACGAAGGAGGGATGGTCAGCAGAGCCCCGGAAAGAAAAGACTGATTAAATCACCCAGAAATCGTTGATCCCCCCTGAGGTCCGATTTCGATCTAGCTATTCATATCACTTGCCAGACTCATCAAGAACAGGAAAGCCCTTTGTTTACCAAGTATCACCCTCTTCCCGCCTTGGACAATAGCCCGCATTCCAGCGGGCAGGAAATCCAAATCCCATCATCTGTTCCCTTTGTTCTGCGGCCGCCCCGCCTCCTCGCTCCCGATTGGTCAGAACCCAGGAAGCGAGCGGAGGGCGCCCATTGGCCCTCCCGAGGCGCGGGAACATTCTGATTGGCTCCTGGTGGAGGCGGGCTGTCAAACCTCCTCCCAGCTGTTCCAGCCTCAGCCAATCAGCGTGAAGCCGGCTGACAGGGGGCGGGCGGGAGTTTCAAACTGCTTTCTTTTGTCTTGTACTGTATAAAAATGCCTGAAATCTTTGTATCAGCATGCTTGCAGTGGAATGATTCCTGTAATGCATCCATTCAGCTGAATCGCAAATAAACGCCTCGGTCGCTGGACTCCTTTCGCCTCTGGTGAGCTTATTTTATTTTAAATATTTTGGCGCTCTTGGATTGGCTTCCGGAAGATCTCACCAAGGTATCCAGGACTCTCTTTGGTGCAGTCCTTGGGCTCTCCTCCCTGGAGGGACCCCCCCAAAAGAGCTCGATATCAGTAGCCCAAAAAACTCACAACAACCTAGTAATTCTGACTATGAAAGCCCCCGACAATACATTGTATCAGGGCTTAGCTTGGTTGGGACTTGCTGGACCTGAGTGGGCAACTTTGGCCACAGGAGCAGGCTTGGCAGGGGCAATGGACATGGTTATGGGGGTATCTCTCCAAGGCATGAGTTGGGCCCCAAGGGTCTCCCCTGCTCCCTCCTCCCTCTGCATGCACAAAATCATGATGCATGCAGCATACACAAATGCATCCCACTTCCCTAACAAGCAACACTGGATTTGCAACTGGAGTTGCCATTTACTGGACAACCAGTGAAGTTTTCCAAAGGACAAAGAAACCATTTCCTTTTACACAATTAATTAGTTTCCCTGGTTTCAAAGGTTTGCCTCATAATACATTGCACTAATTCGGGTTTCTTCACAAAGGAGCCTCTTCTGGAACTGGTAACTTTCTAAGTCAGTGTTTCTCAACCTGGGGGTCGGGACCCCTGTGGGGGTCGTGAGGGGGTGTCAGAAGGGTCGCCAAAGACCATCAGGAAACACAGTATTTTCTGTGGTCATAAGGGTTCTGTGTGGAAATTTTGGTCCAATTCTATTGTTGGTGGGGTTCAGAATGTTATTTCATTGTAGGTGAACTATAAATCCCAGCAACTACAACTCCCAAATGTTAAGGTCTATTTTCCTCAAACTCCACCAGTGTTTACATTTCAGCATATTGAGTTTTGGTGCCAAGTTTGGTCCAGATCCATCATTGTTGGAGTCCACAGTGCTCTCTGGATGTAGGTGAACTACAACTCCACAAATTCAAGATCAATGTCCACCAAATCCTCCCAATATTTTCTCTTGGTCATGGGAGTTCTGTGTGCCAAGTTTGGTTCAATTTCATCATTGGTGGTGTTCAGAATGCTCTTTGATTGTAGGTTAACTACAAATCCCGGCCACTACAGCTCCCAAATGACAAAATCAATCTCCTCCCAATCCCATCAGTATTCAGATTTGGGCATATTGGGTATTTGGGATTTGAAAATACATCCTGCATATCAGATATTTACATTACGATTCATAGCAGTAGCAAAATTACAGTTATGAAGTAGCAATGAAAATAATGTTATGGTTGGGGGTCACCACAACATGAGGAACTTTACTAAGGGGTCACAGCATTAGAAAGGTTGAGAAACACTGTTCTAAGTGGTTCACACCTTATCTTAACTAAACCTTTTCTCAGTTTGCCAACCACAGTTTAAAGGAAGCTCACCCCCCTAGGCTGCTGAACCCTCTTGCTTTCTAGGAAGACTCAGAACAGTTACTGTACATCCTGGGCTGTGACCTGATGGGCCTCTTTCTCCTACAGCCTTCTCCATTAACTCCTCGGTTGCTAGCTGGTGTGGAAGCCACCAAAAGAAGGGGGTTCAATAGTCCACAAGACTGATTCCCTCTTAGATTCCATTTTGGATTTTCTTAAAATTTAGCCTAGCTTCCCAGATCAAGCCACAAAAGCTAAATCTAGCTAATGGCGGAGAAATGCTCTGCCAACTGCCCTCTGCCCTCTTGCACCCTCCCTCCTTCTACACTGTTTTAAAATTGGCAGCCACTTCTTCCCCAAGGAACCTTTGTCCGCTTGCCTTCAGATGCATCTCTCCTTTGAACCAGGGGCCAGGCATGTAGCCGGGGGGGGGGGGGGGGGGGGGGGGGGGGGGGGTGGTCCGCGAAAAGGCCTTACCGGTACATTATTTTAACTGTTATGTTTATTCATATCATGATCTGATCACTATGCTCAATATATCTTGTGTCCATGGGGGTATTGGGGTAACAAAACAAAAGGTGTGCTAGGGTAGACCCTCTTTCATCCAGACTCAGCCCCCCCAAATCAAACTCAGCCCCCTCTGAATCAAAATCCTGGCTACGGGCCTGCCAGGGGCCCAGCTGCAGTGCCTGCCTTCAAAGGATCAAGCCAACGAACTGCATTGGAGTCCTGTGAACGTTGTAGCTGGATCCCTCAAGGCTAGGGCACAGCCCTGGCACCCCTAAACTGGGCAAGGAAGGTTGAAACGGCCCCCAAAACATCCCTCTGTGGTGATCACCAAAAATATGAAGGGATTTCAGCCCATTCCCAGAAGCTTAGGCCAATAGGAGGCACTGGGGGAATGGATACCTTCACATTACATTTGATACAGTTTTACACATTTAAGAATTGAGACAGTATACAATCAATACAACTTACACAATAATATATTTTAATAAATTTATTAAGAGGTTTAGTTATGATATGGTTTAGGGTACAGGTGCTGCTGGGTTCTCCCTGCACCTCCAGTGGCTTCTGAACAGTGAGATTTCGAAAGTGCAGAAAAGGTTTTTAAAAATAAAGAGAAAATCATATATCTTACCTGAAGTCTTTTAAAGGTACAAATTAATTTGGGGAGGGGGTCACCATGGCTCAACAGCATACTGATAAAAACAGTCCTTTGTTCTATAACTCATGGTTGCTCAAAAGGTCACATTCAACAAGAGCTCAATGTGAATAACTAACAGCTTGAAACTGAAACATTTATCAGGACCAAAGAGGGAGATGCTCCTCATTTCAAAACCTCAAAGGATAGAGGGATATGCAAAAAAAGAGGGAGCGTGAAGCATGGAATCAAGAACAAAACCGAACAAACTTTTCTAAAGAAACCGAATACTCTCGCCTTCTTGGCCAAGGGTTTCTGGTACCTCACCCGACTACAAATTACAGAATTACAGAATGCCATAGCATTTAAAGGGGTGCCAAACTGCATTAAATCTACCCTGCAGATGTAGCACCAGAGAAAGAACTGATTTAAAAGAGATGAAACTTTTTCGGAATGAATATCTTCATGATGTTAATAGCTAAATGAAAAAAAAGTGTCACCAGCCACCAGCATATCCCCAAAGCCTTTTTAATCTGTGATAGCGGCAATGAAAGCAAATACTCCAAACTCCAGCCTCTCCTTGGCTCTGGCCTGGCGCCTCCATTCTCTACCATGAACAATTGGATCTTTTCATCTGTTAAGACAGGCTCCACGTAGAGCCTATTGGAGAAATGCCTCCCTCCCTCCTTCTCCACCATTCGCTGGACTATCTCCATCAGCTCAGAGACCTGCCTCTCCCGTTCCTCCCCAGTTGCCCCGTTGTTGAAAGCACACATGCGCCTCCCACACTTCCGAATTAGCTCCTGGAGAGCCTCATTATCTGAGCCCCACACAAAGTTCTCCAAGGAATCCCCTCCCAAATCCTCCTTGTGTGTGAAGAGGACTACCATGTGCCTGGAGGCCTCTTCCCCAAACACGACCCAGACTTGATTGGCTGCAGCCTCGTCTTCTGCAGTGAAGCGGCCCACCTGGGTCACCAACACCAAGGCGTGAGGGCCGGGCCTGGAGAGCTCAATGCAACGCCTGATCTCCGGCAGCAGGATCCAGCTGGAGGGGTCGAAAAGGTCTGGAGTGTCAATCACAGAAAGGTCCACGTCTCTCCACCTCCCTGCCTCTCGTTGGCACCCAAGCGTGGTCGCCCTTGGTGCCACAACAGACTCAAATGCCTTCCAGCCAAGAATAGTGTTTCCTGTAGCGCTCTTCCCACCTCCGATCTTTCCAACCAGGATAATCCTGAGTTCAGATTTCTCCTTCCATGGCTCTGAAGAACAAGTCAGTGAAAAAAGAGACAGAGCCATGAGAGTAAAGACAAAGATCCTCCTAGAGGAAAAGTATTCTTACCATACATCAAAGGAACCACTGACCGTATAGGGAAACTGATGAAGAAACACAACCTACAGACAATCAACGGACCCACCAAGAACATTCAACAAATGTTACATTCGGCAAAGGATAAGAGGGATCCTCCAACAACTACAGGAGTTTACTGTATACCATGCAACTGTGCACAAGTCTACATAGGGACCACAAAATGCAGCATTGCCCAAACATGAAGGTGACCTCAAGAACCCTGGAGCTATTTTTAAGATGGGGATGGTGGTGTGTGTCACCATTTCCAGACAGGCTATGACTAATTCTGCCTGCTTACAGGTTCATCCTTACAAAACCATGAAAACACAGGATGCGGAGGTCTCCACAGCAAAGCATGCTCACCTCTAGACCTGAGCACTATTCTTACACATTTTACAGTTATGCTGTTTTAGCTATGTTATAATCCTTGGGTGGTGCAGTGAGTTAAATCGTTGAGCTGCTGAACTTGTTGACCGAAAGGTCACAGGTTCAAATCCAGGGAGCAGCATGAGCTCCTGCTGTCAGCCCCAGCTTCTACCAACCGAGCAGTTCAAAAACATGCAAATGTGAGTAGATCAATAGGTACCGCTCTGGTGAGAAGGTAACAGTGCTCCATGCAGTCATGCCAGTGGCCACATGACCTTGGAGGAGTCTATGGACAATGCTGGCACTTCGGATTAGAAATGGAGATGAACATCAGAGTCCCAGAGTCAGACGCGACTGGACTTAATGTCAGAGGAAAACCTTTATCTTTACCTGATCCACCTAGAGCTATGAGAGGTAGTTAATAATAATAATAATAATAATAATAATTATTATTATTATTATTATTATTATTATTATTATTATTACAACCCTTCCACAGCAGTGATCTATGCACTGCTAATCTCATGGCTGGACCACAGCAATATATTGCTTATGGGATATTTTGAGGGGTGTATGTATCTCAATGTGCTGAAATGGCCCTGCCCACTCCCGGCATTGAGAAGCTAGCCCTTACCTGTGGAGAGGCAGCCCAAGGTGGGCATCTCGGCAGCGTCCTCCAACTGAGCCATGACTCAGGTTTTTTGGGTCAGTCTCCCCTATATCTCCCTGATGGAAACAAGAGAAGTGATGGAAGCAGGAAAGATTATGAATACGGTAAATACTAGAGGAGAAGGGACTAGAGCCAAGGGACAGCACCACAAAAGTAACTCTAGAACGAGAAAGAGGCAGATATTACATCATGAAGCAATGGCAAGATTCGTCTGTTGGCTGATGAGACAGGAAAGTGCTACTCAAAGTGATTGTCCTACCTAAAAACTCCAACCATCAACCAGGTCAAAAAGGAAACACAGTAAAAGCCCAGGCAGACCATGTAAACAGAAATGCGAAGCCCACCTCCTCCAAGGTGAACTGAACCATCTAAACTGGGCTCTACAGGCCAATAGGTGTCTATTAGGCCTGGGTAACAACGGAAAAATTTGTTTCTAAAATCGATTTGTATTTGAGGGGTTTTTTTGTTTCGATATTTAAAATAATTACAAAATTTTCCTTTTAAAAAGTTCGATATTTATGAAATTTCGTAAATGGTAAAAAATTAACGAATCGATTTCCGAAACAATAACGAATCGATTCGTTAATGGCGGACGCGACCGCGAAATACGCCAAAAAACCTCCAAAAACTTCTGAAGCTTCCCTCTCCCTCTGTTGTTGACTGTTGGTGTGATATTATAATTTTTTTTCACTAATTAAACATAAAACTGGCCCAGACATGCGGAAATAATAACGAAACGACCTCAAAACAACAACGAAACGAATACAATATCGAAATACGAAGCATTTACAAAACGTTTTTGAAAATTCGTTTTTTTTAAAATTGCTCCAGAATGGTTCGTTATCGTTTTGTAATTGAAAAAATTAACGAATTATTAACAAATTACGAATTAACGAAACGAAACCGCCCAGCCCTAGTGTCTATTCCACCACAGACATCAGAAGAGCTGCATGAAAGCCTTCAACAACACAAAGTGGTTGTCCATTAACACGGTGCATGTCCCTGAACTGTTGGCTGCAAGTCACCAGTGAATTTCCAAGAAAGAAAGATATATTTGGATCAAAATGTAGTGGTGGCCCCTGACTATGGAAAAATAGAATTGTTGCTCAAACGCCATCAGATAACCTGAGAAGCGCAGACACAAAAGATTCAAAGGATTCAAAGGATTCAAAGGACAGATAAGAACAGCAGGCAGTGAGAGAAGTGCAATAAAGTCCCCCATGATGAGACTGAAGCAGAACGTTATCATCTACATCCTTCATTCGGAAACCTAGGGAGGCCACTGTGGATAGAAAAGTAAATGATGATAATCAATTATGAATCCCCCTTCCTTAGGAAGTCTTTGACTGGCATTGTAATGATAAAGCAAACAGTTGTTGTTGTTTATTTGTTCAGTTTATTTATTTATTTATTTGCTTTACTTTTATACCGCCTTTCTCAGCCAAAATGGCGACTCAAGGCGGTTTACACAGTAAAGGTTAACAGAACAACATCCACATCATCGAAGGCAATTAAAAACACATTATACAAAGCATCAAGTCAAAACAATCATTATCATAAACGTGCGCCTCAACAAACAAATCAGAATCAGAGTCCGTAATCATAATCCATTATACCAATTCCTATGTTTAGTTGTACCATCGTACGGCATTTCATTGCACTATTTAGCCAAACGCTTGTTCGTAAAGCCAAGTCTTGACCTTCCTCCAGAATGCCAGCAGTGAAGGGGCCTGTCTGATGTCCACAGGTAGGGCGTTCCACAGCCGAGGGGCCACCACCGAGAAGGCCCTGTCTCTCATCCCCGCCAACCGCGCTTGTGAAACCGGCGGGACAGAGAGCAGGGCCTCCCCAGACGATCTTAATGTCCTGGTCGGTTCATAGGAGGAGATGCGTTCGGAGAGGTAAGTAGGGCCGGAACCATTTAGGGCTTTATAGGCTAAAGCCAGCACCTTGAATTGTGCCCGGTAGCAGATTGGCAGCCAGTGGAGCTAGCTCAACAGAGGAGTAGTATACTCCCTGAGTGCCGCTCCTGTTAGCAACCTGGCTGCCGAGTGTTGGACCATTTGAAGCTTCCGAGCAGTCTTCAAGGGCAACCCCACGTAGAGAGTTGCTTCTAACTCTTCATGACCTCATGGACCAGGCCAGGCCTGAGCTCCTCCCTGTTGACCATGGCCACACCCAGCTCCTTCAAAGTCAAGCCAGTCCTGTCAAGGATACCATCTACCCGACTTGCCCTTGGTCGGCCCCTCTTTCTTTTTCCTTCCATTTTCCCCAGCATGATTGTCTTCTCCAAGCTTTCCTGTCTTCTCATTATTTACCCAAAGGACTTCCTCTTTGCCTCTACTATCTTTCCTGGAGGATGGACTGGTTGGAGGATGGACTGGTTGGATCATCTTGCGGTCCAAGGCACTCCCAGCATTTTCCTCCAACACCACAGTTTGAAAGTGATGACGAGATATTGGAAAAATAGATATTTATTGATACATATATTGTATGTACTTTACAAGCACTGAAATGTATAGAAAAATCAGGTTCTCTCTCTGTATTAGAAAGAATGCCAAAGGAGATCTGTGTCCAAGGCACGGGCAGGAAGGAGGAGAAGGGGGGCATGTTATCTATACATTCCAGAGAGAGAGACTGGTACAACAGGAGCCTACCTCTCCCTCATGACAAGTCAAAGTACACCCCTTGATTGATGAATGTAAGCTGTATGCTGCTACTAGAAATACACAGAGACATGCCTCTTGCATGTTGGAAGATAGAATTTGATATTCCTATGATGCTAAAATGAGGTAGTGAATGATGTCAATGTATGTAGAAGCATGTTCTTTGTTTGCCTGAATTTGAAGGGTATAAAAAGGCAGTCAACCCCTTTATCATTGCTCTGGTGCTTTTGGACACAACTCCTCACTAGAGTCCCAGCTGGAAATAAAAGCCGTACTTTTCTGTCTCCAGAAGGGATGTCTCATGGTATTAACTCTCCTATATTTGCTGCAATATTTCCATCTCTCTTCCTTCGCTCAGCCTTTCTTATGGTCCAGCTCTCATATCCATAGGTTACTACAGGGAATGTCATTGCGTTGACTATGCAGATCTTGGTTGCCAGTGTAATGTCTCTACTCTTGACACATTGATCGAGATTGGTCCTTGCTCTCCTCCCAAGAAGGAAACGCCTTCTGATTTCCTGGCTGCAGTCTGCATCTGCAGTCATCTTTGTGCCTAGGAACACAAACCCTGTCCCTGCCTCCACGTTTTCTCCCTCTATTTACCAGTTATCAATCAGTCTGGTTGCCAGAATCTTGGTTGTTTGGATGTTTCACTGCAACCCAGCTTTTGCAGTTCTTCTTTCACCTTATTTATAGGGCTCCTCAGCTTCAAATAGTAATAAGCAAATAAGTAATAAGCAAATAGTACATACAGTTATGTTTAAAACCTGAACAGAAAGGAAGAATGAACGTGTCTGATAAATTTAAAAAGGGATGAACTTCCTTTTAAGCCTTAAGCAGGTATGAAATGGTGCCATTCATCAGCTTTCTCAGACTTATTCTGAAGGTCCACCTACACTGTCCATGGGAGCTGTGCTTTTACAAGGTCTATAACCTGATCTGCAAAAGAGTACGCCCAGAATCCCATAACACTGAGTCATTTTAGTTAAAGTGGATCCAAACAGAATTAAATCTACAGTGCAGAGACACCCTAAATGAGGACAAGAATCTGAAACGATCCCTTTGTTTTCAGTTCAGCAATTTACTTATGTACATTTTCTTGTACAACATTTGGGGGACAAGGCCTGGCTCGAGAGCAGGACGTGTGAAAAAGATCTTGGAGTCCTCGTGGACAACAAGTTAAACATGAGCCAGGAATGTGATGTGGCGGCAAAAAAAGCCAATGGGATTTTGGCCTGCATCAAGAGGAGCCTAGTGTCTAGATCTAGGGAAGTCA